ATAGAAACTATTTTTTAATAAACTATATTTAACAATTATGTTTAAAATAGTCAAATTTAACAACTTGCCAGTAATACAGATAAGATTTCTTCTTTATAAAACATATATATTTTGATGAATTTACTTTAGATTGTATATACAGCTTCTTTTATTAGTATAAAGACAGATACTAGCTTGTCAGAATCAATCTATATCTAAAAGAAGTGATTTTATAATTTGAAACATGGTTAGTATTATTGTACAATTCAAAACTAATTTAATATTATTTATTTTTCTAAGGGCTCTTACTTTTGGCCCTTTGCGATGACTACCATTATCATTCTTAACTGCAATTTTTTCATCATTTTGTTTAATATAATGGTTATAGTAGTATTTAAATCAATTACAACAATTATGATATTTCTCTTGATTCTAATATAATATTAGGAAGCTATAGTTTTTGCAATTATAAAGCTTGTTAATATTACTTCTATAGCTTTAGAGTTGACTAATGGGTCCAAACTAACTACTGATACTAAAAGCCTTTTAATATATTTGCCAAATTATACTGCTAGTCCAAATATTGCAGTATCTAATCAAATATAATATTGACTTTTAAGTTTAAAAGATCTTGTGTAATGTTGTATAGTTCTAGATTATTAATCACAGAAGGTCCTCTTTTTTTATAAAGTATTTGTAGAAATACTACAGAAACAGATATTATTAATGTAGGTATTGCTAGAGCAGACATTACTAGAAGCAGAGTTTTGTTTATCAGAGCTATAGAGAAGCTTATCACTAGAAGCTAATTAGTATACAACCATTTATTATCTGGCTTGGATACTATTTTTCTAAAATTTATTGATCTTTGTGTAGTATAGAGCTAGTAGCAGGTACAGTAGCTGAAATAACAAAAATATCTTGTTTATCAAACATACTTATATAGTTGGCATCTTTTAACTAGAAAAGAATCTGAATAGATTATATAACAGGATTCACATAAGCTTGACTAGAGGCTTGGTTTGAGACTTGAACTTGAGATAAAGCTTGATTTTGCTTTTGACTTCTTTCTGATATATAATTATACAAGATATAGCTAGGTTTTCCATACTTATAACAGGTTATACAGGTATTATTATTACTATTGTTTAATCAGAGTCTTGCTTTGATATATATGGCTAAAGTAGTTATTATTTTTTATATCTAGTAGTTAATGCTTGTATTTGCTATGATAGCCTTAAGAGTTTCCTGTCATAAACTTCATTTTTGCTACTTTTCTCATTGTAGTATTCTCTAACTTTGATTATCTGAACACCAAATATGGTGATTTCTAGATTTTAGATTCTACAACACTTAACCAAGTAGTAGTTTTGGCTTTGAAACCTTCCAAAAACATCCGTATAATATATAAAGATGGTAGCTTATTCTTGGAGTCAACTTTTTACAGAAGCTTCCTAAATTTAAATATATACAAATCTACTTGTTTATCTAGTTGCTACTTCAGAGTATTAAGATCAACTTGCTACTTATATTGTTTTTCTGAGATAGCAAAATATTGTACAAATAATTGAATAAAACTTTCATCTGAGCAGATTTCTCTATTCTAATATTCTAGATCTTTTTTTATACTATTATACCAGATTGTTGCAATTCCATATAGATATCTAAAAACTATCTTGATTTTTTACTTGAGAGACTAATTATTAGTATTCACAGCTCTTTTAAAAGCTTTTACTCATTCTAAAAGATCTTATTATCTTTTTTATTAAATGTTTCTATACAGACTAGGTTGGTTTTACAGATAGGTAATCTAGTTATAGCAGCAACTTTAACAGTTACTTCTCTAAAGGTAGTAGCAATGTCTCATAATATCAGATAGAGAAGATTAGGATCTTAATTTCATGCTGGTCTTTTGTTATTAATTTAATTATTTTCAGAAATGAGTTGTTTGTTAGTATACAATTATTTTTAGTGGTTATTCCTGGGTTAAGATCAATAGATTGTTTTTTTCAAAATGATTAGAAGTAGCACCTGAACTGGCAGTTTTTTTAGATTCTATAGGGCTTATATTTATACTTTTTTTTATCTTTTTTTGTCACTTTTTTTTATTATTAATTTGATATTTTTCAAGTAAAAAAAATTAGCAATCAGAACTGGTTTCTTTTTTATAGTAGGGTGTGAGTCTTGAAATTGGATGCTTCAATAATACTATACTGAGGTATTAGCAGCTTTTATTGTTGCAAATTAAATTTGACTATTTTAAACATAATTGTTAAATATAGTTTATTAAAAAATAGTTTCTA